CCCCTTTCCAAGTCCACTGATAGGGGAGGACCTCCTCCTCTTTCATTTGACCCTGTTTTATCAGGTATCTTCAGGGCTGGCTGCAAAGTCCTCCTCTGTGGCCTAACAGGACTGCTCCTCCCCTGGCAGGGGGTGTCAAAGAGCCTGCCCTTGAGATCCTGTTAGAAATAGTCCTTGTTCCCCTTACTTTGGAAAACTACTTGGTTACTGAGCTACCACAGGCCACATCTGAGCAGAAGTTCTAGGTTATATCCATAGATGGTCCTTGGTTGAGTGTCAGTCTCAGAAAAGACCCTGTGCCCGGATATATTTGGTCCTTGTAGAGCTCCCATCCTTTCCATATCATACTAACTCCCCTTCTTTCATATGATTCCCTGCACTCTGCCGAGGTTTGGTTATGAGTCTTAGTGTCTGCTTTGAAACACTGCTAGGTAGAGTCTTTCGGAAGCCTTTTGTGGTAGACTCCTGTCATACGTTCAATGCACATCCCATTTGTCTTTCTAAATGAGGATTGATCGTCTTCGCCTGTGTCCACTTTCTTTATTATCTTCTTTAGGTGTGTAGATTTCATTATGTTTATCATATCTTGTAGGTCTATATAATTGAGTATATACCATGTTTGTCTTTCTCCTTCTGGGATACTTCACTCAGAATAATCTTTTCTAGATCCCACCACTTGCCTGCAAATTTCATGATTTCCTCCTTTTTGATTGCTGAGTAGTATTCCATTGTGTAAAAATACCACAATTTCTGTATCCATTCCTCCGTTGATGGACATCTGGGTTGTTTCCAAGTTCTGGCTATTACAAATAAAGCTGCTACAAACATGGTTGAACAAATGTCCTTGTTGTGTACTTGAGCAAATTTTGGGTATATACCTAGGAGTGGTATAGCTGGGTCTTGAGGTAACACTACTCCTAGTTGTCTGAGAAAGCGCCAGATTGACTTCCTAGAACTCACTGACACAGGAGACAACTTCCTGAACAGAACACCAACAGCACAGGCTCTAAGAGCAACAATCAATAAATGGGACCTCATGAAACTGAAAAGCTTCTGTAAAGCAAAAGACACTGTCATCAAAACAAAAAGACAGCCTACAGATTGGGAAAGAATCTTCACCAACCCTTTATCTGACAGAGGGCTAATATCCAGTATATATAAAGAACTAAAGAAGTAGAAAAGCAACAAACCAAGTAATCCAATTAAAAAATGGGGAACAGAGCTAAACAAAGAATTCTCGACAGAGGAATATCGAATGGCAGAGAAACACTTAAAGAAATGCTCATCCTCATTAGCCATTAGGGAAATGCAAATCAAAACGACCCTGATATTTCACCTTACACCCATCAGAATGGCCAAGATGAAACCCTCAAGTGACAACACATGCTGTAGAGGTTGTGGAGAAAGGGGAACCCTCCTCCACTGCTGGTGGGAATGTAAACTGGTACTATGTGATTTTTAATGATGGAGATCATATTTTACTTTGCAAAAAATGCTTAATGACTAATGCGGTGCCTGAAAAAAATATCTGTATTGTAATACTTACTGAATTAGTCTATTATTATAAAATATTTAACCAGAGACAGTTCAATTTTTTTCTTGAAGTTATTTCATGTGTATCTAACAAGTTCTTTTATATTACCCAAAAAATAATATTAACTAAATAATTCAAATGGGAAAAATTAATCAGTATGACCCTTATCTAGTTTCATTAAATTAGCTAGTTTACATTAGTGTATGTAATATCAATAAGTACTTTGAAAATAAGAAAACAGTATGGACTTTTAAAAACCACTTAGAGACATTATCTTATCTCAGCAAGAATGGTTAGGGTCCAAAAATCAAAGACAGCAAATACTGGTGCTAAAAGGAAACACTTATCCACTGCTTTATCTCTTTGACTCCCTCCCCACCCACCATCCACCCCTGAGGGTGGAGCAGCCTTGCTAGTGAAATTTGGTGTAGCCATAATGAAAATCAGAACAGAGTTTCCTAAAATTAGTTCTGCCATATAATTTATTATTCATATAATTTTAACCATATAATTTTACCATAAAAATCTTGGGGGTTATACCCAAAGAGCTCTGTATTCTTTTTTTTTTTTTAGCTTTATTTTTTTTATTAGTTACATTTTGTTAACTCTGTATCCCAGCTGTATCCCACTCCCTCATTCCCTCCCCAATCCCACCCTCCCTTCCTCATCTCCTCCCTGACCCTTTTCAAGTCCACTGATAGGGGAGGACCTCCTCCCCTTTCATATGACTCTGTTTTGTAAGGTATCTTCAGGACTGGCTGCAAAGTCCTCCTCTGTGGCCTAACAGGACTGCTCCTCCCTTGGGAGGTGGGGAGGTCAAAGAGCCTGCCATTGAGTTCCTGTTGAACTCTGTATTCTACCAGAGATACCTGCTCATCTATGTTTATTGTGGTTCTATTCAGAATAAATAGGAAATGGAAACAGGCTAGGTGTCCATTAACTAATGAATGAATAAAGAAAAACAGTACATTTACATGATGAAATATTACTCAGTTATTAAGAAAGATGAAATTTGAAGGCAAATAGATGGGGCTGGAAACAATTCTGTATGTGGAAATTCAGAACCAGAAAGGCAAATGTCACATGTTTTTCTCTCATTTGTGGATGTTCTCTATACACATGTATGCTTCATCTGGAATATCCATAATTAGTAAGGGCCCATGTGAAGGGCATTCAATGGTGTGGAGACAGAATGCACTGGTATAAAAGATTAAAAGAAAATTAGGAAATAGGAAAGAAGAAGTTGGGGCAGAAGAAAGGAGAGCCGGGTAGATGAGGGAAACAAAAATAAATAACATGAAACAGTTTTTCAAAACTATGGATACCTACTATGCTTTAATGGGGAACTGGGGTGCCTACTATATGAGAGACTACTGATAAAACTTCAAATCCCAGGAATGGGTTACTTTCTTTTGGAGTTGTTGGCCACTAAGTTTCCCAAGATTCCCAAGCATCATGGACCATTGCCAATGTTCAAGTTTACCTGCAAAACTTAATAACATCCTGCTGCTGAAGATAACACATGCGCAACTCACAGAACATGATAACATCAAGCTGGCACAAAACTGGAAGCTTCAATCTTACTATAGCTATCATAGTGATAGATGGTGCTGTACAAGCTATTGGAGGTGAAAAGTAACCATCAGTCTTCTTGAACTATGTGCCATATGAGCTGAAATAATGCCTGGCTTGACAAGACACTGTCCAGTTGTACAATGGTGTCATGAATGTCACTGGATTAACTAATCACCTGCTAGTCAGATTTTAGGTCTGATCCCCAAGATGAAACCCATATTTGCTACTATTATTGGGCCAAGAATCTATATCTAGCTAGATAATAGACACTAGGAAAGAAACTACTTGTATAATTTTTATGTAAACATTATATTAAACCAATGATATTGTAATCTTAGATTAAGGTATCTCTCAAACTACATCAGAGAATGTCTATTTGCAGTAGATGATAATCAACATAGAGACTCACAATGGCCAACAAACAGAGTAAAAGAGACAGATGTTCAGCCTCCTCAAAGATCATTGACAAAGACAGAATGAAGACAATGTACAGGCCAGAGGCATTGGATTATTACAAGAAAAGAGTGTTTTCTGTACATAGCAGGACATCTGAACATATGAACACACGGTGTTAGGATAGCATAAGACCTGTGCAAATCCAAGCCAAACCAAATCTAAGTGTGGAGAGGGGAGTTGGGTATGAAATCCCACCCCAAGCTCAAGAAGTATTAGCAAGTCTTAGCTGTTGAGAGAATATTCGCCTTTCAATCATGTATGTAGCCCCTGATAAGTCTACTATGTTCCAGTGGTAGGCCACACACGTAAAAATATTTGTACAGTTTACATTGGCCTTGATGAGCGTGAAAAAAAAAAGGACACAGTGTTGGGTAGGAAGTGAAGGGGGATGGATATGGGAAGAGTTGGTGGAGGGAAGAATATGATCAAAGCATGTATGGAATTCTCAAAAAACTAATTATATATACACATATATAATATCATTTAAATTTCATTTACATTTATTAATTTAAACATTATAATACTGTAGATACACATGACAATAAAGAGAATAGATCTGATGATTCTTTCATAGCTATACTTCCAATGACTGCCACTAATGAAATATAAATTTAATTCCAGTAATAGGAAACCTGTTTTGAATGACATTTATATAATTAAATAGATACCTTAGCTTTTATAGTCATATTTCACACAGAAATATAAGTGGCTGTTGATTAAAAAGTTATATGTTTTTGGCTACTATGAGATTAAATGTCTGTTACTGAAAGGTAATTAAGAGAAATCTGACTAAATTAAGTTTTATATTAAATGATATATACTAGGCTCATTTATAGGACTATAATCTAAGATTTGCTAAAATACTAAGAAACCACCAGATCAACTATAGATGCCACCATCTATGCTATTATTTAATATAATAATATACCAATCTAATAGAACAATTTAAATATACTAAATTACTCAGAAACTGTCAACATGAATTGAACCCTTTATGACTTCACATGAATATGCGGATTTATAAATTCAAATCCAAGTTCCTAACATATGAGAATAAGTAATTTTAATTAATTTTAGTAGTTCATTATATGAACTAGCATCTAGCTAAAATTAATAAATATCAATTGGTGATTATGAACAATCACAAAAAGAATAACTTTACATTTTGATGAATGCAACTCTTATTCATTAGAACTATGACTTTCGGCAGTGATAAAACAGTCTCTAAAGTTTAACATAAATAAAAACAAAGCCAAAAAGAAACAAAGGGAGGCTGGTCGAGATGCAGCTACAGAGGACAGTTAAGACTCTTAACTCTGGACAAAAAGGGATGAGGTTAATTCTTGTAAGTAACCTGTCTTAGATTTACTGTTCTGGGGTACTGGTTTACAGTAAGGAGTTCACTTTCTTTGCAATTGGTTGGTGGCTTTCTTACCTAGAGAGCATGCCCAGAGGTGTAACATTAAGTGATCCCATCAGCATTGCCAGGGCCATCCCTGGTGCTTCCCGTTCTATTACTTCTTTTGTGGCCTGTAATTAAAGATTAAATAGCAGACTGAGTGAAATAGCCAAAAAAGAAAGGCAGAGTAGTAAGTTTCACTTCAAGATAAACCACATTTTGTAGTTCCTCAAGCATTTAGATTTTTGAAGTCAGTCAGCTCAGTTTTTTAGGATCACTGAACCCAAGCTATTGATTAGGATAATCCAGAGAATGTTACAAGTCCCATCTTATTCTTTTGATCAGTTTCAAAGTATCTGATAAAAAGATTCTTCTCAGATAACCTGAATTCCAGAACAGGAAGCTTAAGATTGCTATGACAGTTTAAAAGATTTCAGACGTGTAAGAAACTGGGCAGTATTTCCTGCGGCTCTTAGAGTTTTTGTTGTTTGTTTTGTGGTGTCGAGGGTGGAACCCAGGGCCGTGTGCATACTGGGAAGAGCTCCAGTGTGACCTGGAGTACTATGCTACACCCACAGCCTGCCTATTCTTTAAATAAAATTACATCTAACTCCTAGATGTAATTCCTTCTAGTTCTATGATTTTATAATATTTTCTATTTTCAATACAAATTAGCCATTGGATATTTTTTTAAAAACAATAAAGTGATAGGAGTTACTATACTAAGAGTTCATGACATGACATTCTTAAGATGAAGGGTAGTTAAACCAGGATTAAATTAGTGAAGAAAACAGGAAAACTATATTTTCTAAAAGTCAGAATATAAGCATACCGTGGAGATATTCCAATTTGGTTTCAGACCACCACTGTTAAGCAAATAAATCAATAAAGCATATTACATGAACTTTTTTGGTTTCTGAATGCATTTAGAAGTTATGGTCATGTTGTATGGTGTATTAATCATACCATATCATGATATATATATCATATCATTATATCTAAAAAAGTTACAATAATGAAGTACAGTGTTGCAAAAGTATCTTGATCACCTGAACTTTCAAGCAGTCATAACTGCATTCCAAATGGAGGCTCTTGTTGGCTGTTCACTGATCAACAGACATTTAAAAATAATGAATAAGTTTAGACTATCGGGAGAATTACCATATGCAACAGAGATATGAGATGAGCACACACTGGAAAAAATGGCATTAATATTCTTGCTCTGCACAGGGTTGCCTCAAACATTTATTTTGTAAGACACTGGTATTTGTGAAGGGCCATACACTGAAATTATAGAATATGAGGTATGATTGCATATTGTATTTAATGGTAAAAAAAAATTAGGCTGAAATTAGGAACAAAACACATGACGTAATTACATTTGTAGCAATCTGTTTTCATAAATGAAAGAAGTTACAATACCTGGAAGCGACTAAGAAGTAAAACTTGCAAAGCAAAGTATTCCAACATGAGGAAAGCAAGCAAAATATAAGTAATGACATAATGCAGAGACAGGTCATGACTGTAGTGGTTCAGCAGAAGTGAGTGACAGCTCTAAGTAAAATCGCATATATGGCTAATTATTTCCTCTGAGCAAATACTTGACAAAACAGTTAAAGTAAATCAAGTATGTATCAGATACTAACCGACAGTGCAATTTCTAAGATATATATGTATATGGTTAATTTGTTCCTAATATGCTTATAAAACACAGGATTCCCAGAACCAATAAATCTCCTAGTTCACTGCACATAGTACAGTGTAACCAAAGCAATTGCTTCTTAAACTGTGCTTTAATCAGGGGACACCAAAGACAGTAGACAAAATATCTTAACTTCACAGTCTTTATATGAGTTGCTAGTATTTAAGTTCAAAGCTGCAAAAAAATGATGAGCTGTCAACTTCATTCTTCATCATCTGAAACCAACCTAATCAATATAAGTTTAAGGACTCATGATATGAGACATTATTTCTGTTATAAGCTACTGTGTTAAAGCTTAAAACTTCTCAGGAAGCTAAAAAAATCTAAAGTCCTAAAAAAGTCAAGCAAAGGGAAGTTAGCATAATACAAAAAAGTTAGCATAACACAAATTTTTTTTTTTTTTTTTTTTCAGAATTAACACTTCATTACATACTCTTAAAAGTCGTCATATAAGGGGATAGGAAGTCTACAAGGAGAACAACAGAGCCAAAATACCTGGGCCCAGGGGCTCCTGCAGAAACCAATACTCCAACTAAGGACCATGCACCTAGAGGACCTAGACCCTCTCCCTGCTCAGATGTAGCCCACCGGCTGCTCAGTTTCCAAGTGGGCTCCTTAGTAGGGGGTATAAGGGTTGTCTCTGACATGAACTCAGTGACCTGCTCTTTGATCACCTCCCACTGGGGGGAGCAGCCTTGCCAGGCCACAGAGAAAGATGATGCAGTCAGCCTTGGTGAGACCTGATAAGCTAGGGTCAGATAGAAGGGGAGAAGATCCTCCCCTATCAGGGGACAAAGGAAAGAATATAAGAGGAAAAGAGAGAGGGTAGGTGGCACTAGAAGGAGACAAGGGTATACTAAGTGAATAAACTGTAATAAATAAACATGTAAGTTTTAAAAAGTCATTATATAAGCAGTGTTTAACATTTAATGAGTTTGAATACAGTTTATCTCCCAAAGATTCACATGTTACTAGCTTGGACCTCTGTGTGGCAATGTTGAAAGTTGGTACACAGGTAAGGCAGTGTCACTAAAAATTTTAAGACTGGTGTCCTGGAGTCAGTTCCAAAGGAAACAAGTTAATAAAGAGTGAGCCTGACCTTTGAATCTATCTGGCTTTTTTTCTTGCCATATGATCTCCTCTATATTTAACCATTTCCCTTTCTGCCTCTCAGCTTTGTTGTGATGCATTTAGGGTGTCCTTGCTATAGAGGCCAGCATATGGAATCTCTCTATTTTGGACACTCAGTTTCCAAAACTATGAAGTAAATAAACGTCTTTTTCTTTTAAAGTATTCAATCTCCAGTATTTTTTTTCTAGCAAGAGAAAAATTAATGAGGAGATACACATAAGATTATGTTCCCCAAGCACATTTTAAGATCAAGTAGAGAAAACCAACAGATAGCCAGGGCACATTTAATCTAAATTTAAGACACCAAAGTACAATACTTATCCACTTAAGAAAGACTACTTATTAGTTATCCACGATGTTTGGTAGTATTTGGAAGTTGTGATGATCCAGTCATGAATTAAAGCTTAGTGTGTAAGCTTTGACCCAGGGTTAACAAATAATGAGAAGAGGTAAAAGTTCACTAATTTTTCTAGATTCTCTAAAATATATCATGGATTTTGCTAGAACACTGGATTCTACCTGAAATGGCTCACTTCAGTTTCCAGAGTATTATTTTATTAGGAATTGCTTTTGTGTTCCACCATCAGACATAAACAAATCTCCCAATGAAATTTCTATTTATCTGAGAGAATATATCAGCCATGGTCATATTATACTATTACTTTTTTTTTAATGAGGTCCTGCAGGAGAAAATTTTGATCTTAAGTAAGATTGGATAGTCTTCTGCATTGCTAGGTTTGTTTTTAAATTATAATTGTATGAATCATGGTGTGCTGGTGGGAGGGTAGGAGAAGACCATCCGGTTCTTAGAGGTCAAGACACAATAACGTGTTTACAGTAGGGCATGCTTAAATAAATCATTTATATAACTTTCTTACTCTGTAACTAATGCATTATTTCCAAATAACACTGTAAGCTATTTGGGTTTATTTTTCTCTCTTTAAAATAACCAGTATGGTCAAAACATCACTACATGTGAAGTCATAAATTGTTACTACATAGTTAGTGTTCAAGAGAAGAGGTCTTAGATCTACTGCATTACATGGCACAGTAGGTAACACCTAGTATATGCTCAATAAATATTAGTGGAACACAGAAATAAATATATGGACTTATCTATATTTGAAACTTGGCTTTGCTGCTTATTTTTCTGTGAATTAGAAGAAAATAATCCTTTCTAGGCTTCAGTGTATTTAAGGATAAAATATAACTACATATGTTAAAAGGACAAGGAGAAGATATAAATAATCTAGTATACAACAGATATTCAAGAAAGTAATTGTTTTCTGTTCTTATTTTCCAGTTCAATCTATAACCTTATAGTTTTGATTGTAATAGATTAACAGAGATGACAAGAAAACATACATACAATCAGTACTTGAGAAGCAGAAATAAAATAATAGAGAATTTACAACAATAACCAAAATGTATGAGCATTGGTTAGTGAAGAGAAAAAGTAATAATGAAATACTCTGATCTTTAGAAAGCAAAAAGCCAATTAAGGTGTGGATTGGAAAGATATGAAATAGGGCAAAAACTGAGAACAAACATCCACAGCCATATATGAAAAAGTATGGCAAAGAAAGCATTCAGCAAAAGAATAAAATCTAATTTAGAATACAAAAATGACAAAATACTCTAAGACATTAGAAAATCTAAACAGAAGAGTGGCTGTAAGAAAACACCTTTGGGCACAGGGGTCTTTCATGAGACTGTTTCTCCAACCAAGGACCATGGATAGATATAACCTAGAACCCCTGCTCAGATATAGCCCATGGTAGCTCAGTATCCAAGTATCTCTAGTCAGGGGAACAGAGCCTATTTCTGACATGAACTCAATGGCTAGCTCTTCGATCCCCCCACTCCACCCCTGAGGGAGGAGCAGCCTTGTTAGGCCACAGAAGAGGACATTGCAGCCAGTCCTGAAGAGACCAGATAAGCTAGGGTCAGATGGAAGGAGAGGAGGTTCTCCCCTATCAGTGGACTTGGAAAGGAGGAGGGAGGAGATGAGCGAGGGAGGGTAGGATTGGGAGGGAATAAAGGAGGAGGCTACGGCTGGGATACAAAGTAAATAACCTATGATTAATTAAAAAAAAAAAAAAACAAAACACCTTTGTCACTTTCAATCACATATAGTACTAGAATAAAGACAAGAACCATTTGTATTTGCTAATGTGGTCACATAAACCATTTTTATCAGAGCTAAAAGAATGTCATTAAAAGATTGAGATTATTTTACATAATTGTATTATGGTACCAGTTCAGATTTTCATAATTATATGCAACTAATCTGATTAG